TTACTTTTCCATACACGACTCAATGTAAAACAATCATTTGAGTTATGTAAAGAAGAATAAATTGTATTAAATGTCTAACGATTATCTATGGACTTTGATGATTTTTGTTTTCTTTTTGTTCTGTAATGGATTTCCGGAATTGTAACTTCAGCATACACTCTTGCTGCTGTATTTCACGATCTCCGTTTTTTATTTTTTGACGACCATGGGTATAAATTTCGACACTCACGGTACGGCTATTATAGCCCTTTAGAAACACTTTTTAGGCCACCGAAGTCCCTTCAAGCTCATTTTCTGTTTTTCTGAAGTGAAGCATAGAATGACGATCTTAAGAATTAAGTTGGCCTCCTATTTACTGGCTAGTGTTTACTCAATCAATTCTGATTTCAATTCGTTAACCAGAGAGGCTGTGATTGGTTAACCATCAAAGTGTTGAGAGACAAAGCTGTTATGCATGTATATTATGTCTAGTAGATATTTCGATAGTTTTTATTTTAATCGACTTCGCGCTATTGGTTTGATGAACAAAGGCTATACGACTGAGCAATATTCTGGAGCTTAGAAGAAGTCGATCTTCAAAATATTGTAACGTTTTGTAATAGCCAATAGTCAATAACAATGACTAGTGCATGATGAACTGTCCGATAAAGAAAAAATCGTTATTAATGAACAGTTATTATAGTCAACAACCCGTCCTTTATATATGCGTATCGCCGAGTGAGGTTCTTAATTCGAGCCGTTCTCCATCAAAAAGATTCGACTTGATCGACAAGAAGTTATACGAAAACCATAAGCAAGAGCGAACATTTGTGGAAAAGCCACTAGAATTATCGACTCTAAAGAAGATAAAGGAATCGAAACGTTAGCCGGATATAGTTTTTTTTTCGTGCTATTGGCTTGATCAACAAAACTATTTGATTACAGTAGATAATCATGGATCATCAGTTGTCATAAATTTGAAACCTTATTTCATTTACTGATGTTCACCGCTACCATCGTAACTATTTCCGCTGTCAATTCATTCAACAACTAGTTATTCAGTTGTTTCTTAATCGTCTGATGAGAGTGAAAGTTGCAAAGTTCGTTACTTTTTCCATACACAGTTTCTTTCATCTTGTCAGTTCGTGATACTAGCGTATTCTATCATTTTTCTCAAGTGAGACTTTTGACTCAGAATGTTTTTTGGTTTCTTTTCTTCTAACTGCTATCCCATATCAGTCAGTTTGCATTTGTTCGTCAGAGTTTCGCTTAGACTGTTTTGCTCTACTGAAGCAGAATTTATCTGCATAGGTATTCATTCAATATAGCTTTTATCTTTTCATTACTATGTTAAAAGAGGTATTATTTTTTTCCGTTTTTAACGGTTGCCAGAAATCTTCCCTTCAAAGTTTCAAATTTTCGAGCGAAAATTTTTGCAATGGAATTTTTTATTCTTCAAGCGTCTCAGTGGTTGCTCTTTTATCTCTCAATGGTTTACCGCCTCATCGTAGTTGGGCATGTTGACATGCGATATTTACCGATAGTTCCATCTTTCGATAGGGTCATCCAGCCAGAAAATGGATTCTAAATTTTTTACGAATGTGCAGCTTAGATGAACCAACGCCGAGTGACCTAGCAATCAAACCAACTGTAATCATGTCCTTTTCCGGAAAAAAGGACATAGGATTTCATTACAGAAATATGACGAACTTTACGTCTCTGCAATGAGTGTAGGTCGCATCTGTGCCAATTTTGTCCTCAGCTATAATCTTTATAGAAAAATTGATAAGGTACTCGACCTCTCATCTTTTTCATTATAGTAGTGATGTGATGTTAATGCAGCTGTGCTAACAGATTCTTTCCCAAATCACAGAAACTACAGCTCTGCTTAAGTGCCTCAAGGAAGGCATCACATCACTACAGAGGTAGAGTACATTATCAATTTTTCTATAAAGAATCTAGCTGATAACAAAATTAGCACAGATGTGACCTAACTACTATATTCATGTGTTGTCCTACTTCCCAGGACCGACTGTCTCTTAGCGTTGGCATGGACTAAATAAATCAGTGTTTTCTTGTTAAGCAGATACAAGGCCGTTGATAGTAGTATTTATTTAGTACAATAAGAAATACAGTGTAATAAAAGCAGAATGGTTGACGTTTTTGGCTAATCTCGCCTTCTTCAGAGCCTGGGAAGGTCGAACTGAACCGCAATCCTCAGTCAAATACTTCTATAACCCCTGGTAGAAAGACGTGGTGAACAAATTTCGGATCACATGGTAGAAAGTTTCATTTTGAAATCTGCACCGTTTGGTTGTTTAGAGCTTTCCAAATACTCATTGGAGGCAAGCCGCTTAATGTCTTGCATAGGTTAGAATGTACCAGACTCAAACCGGGAAAATTAGCTTGAGGTATAGTGCGAGGTCAGGCGTTATTGCGAAGCACTCCTCTTTGGAGTTCATTTTTAGATTTTTGCTATTTATCCGAAAGGTTTTTCAGAGTTTTCACGTAATAGTTTTTTCCTACCTATTCTTCTTCCTATCAAGTAAATGACTCTGAGCGGTTTGTGCCTAATGAATAGTTAAAAGATTAGAAAAAACAAGCAGACGATAAGCGTTTAGTGATGCTTTTTGCTATACGTCCAAAAGTTTATTTATTAGTTTTCTGCTGGGGTTATGAAAGTATCTGACTAAGCAAATTGTGGATCAATTTGACCTTTTCAGGCTTAAAGAGGGCGGAATTCGCTAAAGCATCAGCCATTCTACTTTTATTCTACTGTATTTCCACTGCACTTAAGAAACACTATTATTAACAACCTTAGTTCTGCCTAATAAAGTAAACACTGTTGACCTTCTATCAACCGTGACTGATCCAAGAGCAGTGAACAAGTACATAACAGTTTTGTTAGTGACGACAAGCAACAACCGTCGTGACAACACGAGTGGTGTGTCTCCTTACACTGCACCATGTCAGCCATCATGCTGAGCATGTGGCGCGACCTCTGTTAACTCGGATATAAAAGCCGAATTAGTGATTAAACATCGGCGATGTGGCTTTGTACGCCGTACACGTCATCTACTTGGTCCGTGTTTCTTCTCGATCTTCCCAGACGTTCGGAATTTTGAGGATATTTGAGTTGATTGCGTGGCGCGCAAAAATACAACTTCAAGAGGAGCTTAACCCGCGCTTCATCCTTACCAGACGCGTGTTCTGCCACTACACCATCAAGACCACCGCTCTGCGATCGTTCTTTCTTCGGTATGAGCTATCGAAGCTTTCTAGACGAATATTTCAATATCATACCACTGCTAGAAAGCAGTCTCAAAGAAATATAGGGTTTACATGTAGGAAAAAACTGTCAGCTCAACCCGATTCAGGGCGAAATGTGCTCACCAGGTGAAACCCGTTAGGGGTTGGTTGCTTACAGTTCGATAGATCATAATGGGGATAGAGTGGTTGTAAAGCGGTGACCATGGCGTTGTAGTGGTAGCACGCGCCCCCGATAGGAATGAAACGCGAGTTGACCTCCTGCTTGAGGTCGAATTTTCGCATACCACTCAATCATTTCGGATGAGTATTTCAACAGCGTGTCACTGCTAGAAATCACTCAGTACTCGAAAAATATAGATTCTACCTGTATGTGTTTGTGTGTATGTGTATGTGTGTGTGTGTGGTGTGGACACATGTGACGGCCATCAGTCGATGTCTGTCTGCTGGCGGATGGTGTGCAGGCAGCCGGTTGGCAACAGAGCGACGGATAGCGGACGGATAACGTGGGCAGTTTGGACGAAGCGACGTCGCAGCGCGAAGTTCCGACTGCGTATATCATAGTCGACTGCTGATTGCGACCCGATGCAACTGTTGCCGCTCATTTTTCATCGTCGAAACCGTAGCAGACTTTTTTCTTCTGTTTTTTTTTCACCGAGTACGACGGCCACAATGCAATCTACGTAACTTGTGTTTTTGTCGTCTACGTTGCGCGCATTTCATACATGTGCTAAGCTCATAACAATCATCTCTCATTAACACTCTAACGACCATGCGTACCGATTTCGGTACGTGCAGCCCTTTGATTCTGGAGGTAAGCAACCCTTCCTTGATCCTTTTAAGTACTTTAGGGAAGCCTATTTCCTACTTTGCGAATCGGGTAGAGCGACAATCTCAAGAAACTAGTATTCATCGCATCTTTGCTAATTAATTCTAAGTAAATAAATAATGATTTTAGTACGATAATTAGCCACGTTGTGATTGGTTGACCATGAAAAGGGAAAATTACGTAACTTCTTACTCACTGATCGGGTTAACGACTAAGCTAACATAGGTGCCACGCTTAGAGCTCGCCCAAGCCTCCAGAAGCTTAATCACTTCAGGACAAAAGCACTGAGTACAAATACAATCGATTGAAAGGTCTGCGAGAAAATTGCATTCTAGTGGAACTAGCCAAATAGTTTAAAACATTAGCGCTATTTCCCAGATGCAACTCATTAGGTAATAAAAATAATGGCGGCTAATATAAAGGGGACAAAACTGGGTGGTTTTGAAAGCCTCATATATTTACCTGAGTGTAATGCATTAACCCATCCTTTACCGGATGTGCGCCACGATGTATATAAATAGCATAATTAAGGGTCTTGAAACTATTTTCAGAATCTATCGAACTTTTTGATCCCGTTTCCTTCTTTGAACCGATCAATAGAGCAACTATTCAATGTTTACCAAGTTTCTACTGATTACTGATAACTAGATATACATTGATTTCAATACGGCAGCTTGACTGGACGGTACTGTCTACGTTAAGGCAAAAATAAACCGTTCCTTATTCTGTCTTTCGTTTTAGTAAAGCCGAAATCTGATGAAATGATCTTATTATCTATTGGGCAGAATGTGTTACGTTCTACGAACACTTCGTCATTACGCATCGTTTCAATCCCTCATGCAACAATCTTCACTATGTGATCAACACGTTCATAGACACTCATTAGCATTCCGTCTGATCGACAAGAACTAGAAGCAGAATAAGAGCTTCAATAGTGTAGTGGTTAGCACGCTCCCTGGAAAGGGTGAAACGCGAGTTCAACTCACGCCTGAGGTTCAAAGTTGTCTTCATCACTCACTCTTATCAGCATTATTGGTTTCCTGGCATTTCTAATCTTAACGTAATATTCAAGAGTGCATGCGGCGCAGTGGTTAGAGTGCTCTGCGTCGCACACGAGGTCAATGATTCGATCTCGCGCTTATGGCTCACAGGCCATCCATCCCTCCGGGGTCGGTAAATTGGTAATAGACAAGTCTGAAAATCTCAGACTTGTCTGGGAAGATAAGCAGCACTGACTCGGTTCAGCGGGAGGCCACCGCGAGTCATTGTAAAGGCCAGATATGCATTCAATCACCTCAAACGAAGTTAAAAATTGAAGTCGAATGCATGGCGCATCCCTCAGGGATTGGTCAACGCCGAGAGCTTTATCCTTTATCCTTTTAACGTAATTTTTAGTTATCAATCAAACTCCTTATTCATTGTGGGCAGAGTTATCGGCATGAGTATATTGCTGCGGCAGACCAACTTCTTCAAATCGTCGTTCTATTGTTTAGTTTACAAAGTTATAGAAGAGTATAGAAACGGCTCAAGGAATTCTGAGAAGCGGTACCAAAGGACAAACATTGAAGGGCCAGGCGTACCGAAACCTGCACATATAAGCGTCGAAGGGTTGCGTGATCTGAATATAGTTCTACTCTAACCTCCTTTTCGTTTTCCACTTGGTTTAGCTTCTGCATCATTTTTTATGTCGATGAAAGGTCTTAAAAACGTTATATTCCATAGTGAATATGATTTCCACGGTAAATTGTATGGCCATTATCACTTACTTGATTTGATATTAGGCAGTTTTTCATAAAATAAACTTTTGTATCAATTTATGATGGCGTTTTCCTTTTCTCTTAGCTCTGTGATTATGATCTCAACCTTTTTTTTCCGAAAATTAGTGTGACATTATCGGCGAAGCGAAGGTTAATGAGGGGAATTTCACGCCCCCCATAGGTGCACTTTTGTTCGTACTTGAGCGGTCGTAGTGTCCACTGGAATGCAACCATTGTCAACTTTGGAAAGAATACTCGTTCACATAAACTGAGTTTTTCACTCAGAGTTGTCATTGATCGATACAAAAACAACATAGCATTTGAACTGAACGACTGTTTATGTGAAGCTGATTGACAGACTTTGTTCAGGCAATTCTGACAAAACGATGCTCTTCTCCAAGTGGCATAGCGACAATTACACGGTTGTGAATTTTGCGATAATACCAACAGTCTCATTCCATTGTGACACTAACTTATGTCGCTGAATTTGGCATGTGTGCAGTATAATCCTGGCAATTGTTCTGTATCGTTAATCGGATCGATTTTGTATTTTGAAATGATGTTATTGCTAGCCTAACAATTAGAGCTCCAAATCCATTGTTGGCCAGCGCTGGTTTGACTTCGCTCCATGCCCACCACGCGCCTCTTTTTTCGGTGGTCAGGAAATAGGTGTTTAAATTGTCTGAGACAAGCTCATTCTTCCAAGTGAAAACACCGTAGCACGTCTATCCTATTAGCTCAGAAATAATAATTAATATTATTGTTAGTTTCACTGAGTACAAAGAAGGTAATTGGAATTTTTTACTGATCATTGATTCCTTTATGCAGCATGTCTGATGTCATTTGTGTTGTGATAATCGGATGAGGCGGTTTCTGCCATCTCGCTGAGATAAGCTGAAATGCTGTTTATTCTGGAAGGTTTGTCTGGCTTTAAAACTTATGGTTGCCGATCAAATTGCTACGAGGAGAATAGCTTGTTGCAGACCTCAAACGAAAACATTGGAGTTCACTAGAAGGGTTGTGGAATGATAAATGTCTGCTTGGTTTATTTCCGTAATAAGTAATTCACATTGTTGCAATATCGCAAAATCTCTGTTTTAATTGAGAACTTGTTGGAACGTGGTATCTCTGACGATCACATTGACATGTAAGCACACATTTCCTCTTCTCCCTCCATGTATTTTCATGTAACATCGTTATCAAAGGTTCATTACGTTGTTCACATGAGATATTGCATACGTTTCTTTCGCGTTTCGATTCAGTCTTCTATCTTTTTTTCTACAAAAGCAGCCGTTTTGTGCGGATCAGAATTCTTGATACTTTTATTGTCGTAGACAACCACTGATCTTTGTCACTGATATGTCTCTCTTCTTGTAGGTAGGAGCATTTCTTCTCCAGCTTGCGATCGCGTAAGTAGTATAGCTCTTACAGCGATTGTTAGATGAACTATTTTCTAATTTATGCTCGGATAAGCCTTTTTTCGGGATTAAGACATTATGAGCTCTATTCTGCTTCTTTGTTCTCCCAGATTTCCTCCTATCTTTAACGATTTACTCTATTTCCCACTTGAAGTAACTAGGGAAGTCAGATATGAGCTGAGTTCATTTTATTCTAGGGTAGGACATCTTTTATGGAAAAAGAAGTCTTTTGAAAAAGTCTAATTCCCATCAGTTTTACTTCTTAATTTTGGTTCTTCAAAGAATTCGTAGGCTTTGGAAAGGAAAATCTCTTGATAATAAACAATACCTGTGAAATCTTTACATTTTTTTTTTGTTAGTTTTCACATTAGAGAATATCAGCAGATGATGCTAGCCTATTCTCTAATTTGAAAATGCTATGTTGATGATGGTTAGCAGACATTACTTGAATACGGAAAACGGAGAAGAATCACAGATGGATTTGGATCACACAATCCAGTCACAATCACACAATCACCACGGATTTTGCTTTATATGAGAGGTCCTTGATCGACATACAAATCTTCCTATACTTTTTCATTCCAATATGGTTTTTTATGTAGTTTAAAAAGTTTTTAAAAGGGCTCTAGTTTTCAAAATTTGTAGGCGTTTTTCTTCTTTTATTTGCTTCGGAATGTCATGAAAGACTCATCAATGATGATGTACCAATAGTCTCCAATTTCACTCTTGAGATGGAAAAATCTTAGAAAGCCCATCACTTTTTAAAGTTTAATATTGTTGGGAACCAAACTGCCTGAAACAGCTGAAACTCTTATGTTTGATGTTCATAGGATGGAGTTTTACGAACACCTTATTTTTCCATACTACTAGATCGTTCTCATAAGTTTTTTCTAGGTTAAGCACAACCTAGGATTTGAACGTTCCTTTTAACCATTCAAGAGTTTTACCTGAAAGATTGTGAGACTGCGAATGAGCGTACACTCTTCAGAAGTCTCTAAAGCTTTGGCATTGGCCATTCTAGACTTTTGTCGCAGCTTTAGCTCGTCATAAATCCACCATTCAATTTAGTATTTGAATCGACTAAGCAATGATCGGAGCATGGAACGGTTGTTGACTCTTAATTTTACTCTGGCTAAAATTCTCTGTCTAGTAAAACCATAACTAAGCAAAAATCACTCCCACACCACAGTTGCATTTCTATGAGAAGAATTGTGAGGTCGTCCTTCATTTAACAACAAGTTCTTATCTTTTTTATTGTGCAATCAATTTTCAACTACCTAATAGTGCGATCAATTTTCAATCACTTACGTCGAAATCCGGGATATTCTTTTCTCAGTGAGCCTCTGGAAGTTTTGAGTTCGGGTATCTTCTTTTTCCTTTTTGAGTAATTTTGCTTTTTCTATGAGCTTTTTCCATGTCTGTATGTCTTTTCTCTTTCACAACTATTATTAACGTTGTTAATACTATTGGTCAGAACATATACTCCCTGTATTTTTTCCTTTTAGATTTCTTTTTGTCTTCATGTTGTTCGCCATAAACCCTTTAGTTGTCATTTCTATACTCTGGAAGTCTCCATTTTTGTAAGAGGGTTTCCTACATGAAAAAGTCAACTCCTTAGCGTATGCTACGGTCATTATTCAGAGAAATCCTTCAAATATTCCTGTATATCCAGTACTCACTGAAAATCCTCAACAGTCAACATGTAATCTGGAACTAGCTCCATTAGTATGGCATTTTTTGTGGTGAAATCTCTTTCCAAGCATACCATATTTTTGGATTTTAATTCCATACTTTTGGTATTTGAAATGTCGCTGAAAGAATCTCCCTACTAACTCCATCAAAGATTTTTGCCTCTCTATGATGCAACTATTTCTGAGCGAGTATGGGTTTGAACGACAACGGCACTCATAAACCCTAAAATTCAAAGCTTCGAATTATCTTTGTAAATGGCCGCAAAGGGCGATTCCTTCATCAATCATTTCTCTTTAGAACCAAATTTCCTCAAAGTAAATGACGATTTATAGAACTTTATGCTCCATAATCACTGAATAGCTCAACGTCTGTTGTAAATTTGGCGTATCTAATGAGATTCACTTTGCCGTCTACCAATGAACAATTTTGCGAGTTATGCGGCAGACGACGACGACGACGGGGCAAGCGTACTCTTGTCATTGGCAAGGACACCGGCATCACTGTTTAAAATGTCGTCGCCAACAGTCTCATGCGAACATTCCACTTACTGTCATGAATTCTATTCGCTGTGTATGAAACACTTTAGTATCGAATCAGCACATACTTTCACAAATTCATCAATTTTCGAGGGTTTTTTTTGTGATTGCGCCTTCTGTCAGAACCCCAAGAGAAAGAACCACGCGTTCGTCCATAATATAATCAATTGAATATTTCTTTAAATATCGATCAAATACAATACATTGATGTCTACCAGTTGTGTACTTTGCAATTGATTCGTAAGAGCTGCGTAGAGTTCTCTTGGTAAGGCAACCTGTTTTCAATAGTTAGTTTAGTTAACTGTTTTCTGATTTTTGTAGTAATTTCTGATTTCCATATTGTGTAATTACCTAATGACCCTAGTAACTACTTCATGATTAATTAATTTGATTACTTCAAATTTCCATGGACAAGAACGGTTCGTTTTCTGCAAAAAACAACTGGCAAGCGCGCTATTTCTATTTTCGACATCAAACAACAACAAAAGAAACAATAACTTCTATTTTCAATTTTCTACCTCGTCATTATCGTTTATATTATCTCGGAAAAAACGCTTTCAATTGAGATTTTCAGGAACATACAGTGTTTTTTC